CACCTTGCCTTCCTTAAAAAATACGGCAGAGTGTTCACCATCTGTCTGGGCGGCAGGCCATCGCTTATCGTTGCCGATCCGGAGCTTTTGAAACAAATAATGGTCAAGGATTTTCCAAATTTCCGCAATCGTTTCCAGTTTCAAAAGCCAGTGAACAAAACTCTTGCACAGAACGTGGCATCCTCACGGGACGACAAATGGAAACGGATCCGAAACACGCTGACACCCACTTTCAGTGCGGGAAAACTGAAGCTGATGACACCTTTGATGGAGAAGTTGTGTGACACACTTTTGGAGAAACTTGAAAAAATCACTGACTCGGGTGAGTTACATTCCTTAGAAAGTAGGCGCGACTTCCAGCGCTCTCTCGGTCCTACCGGACAGCAAGCCTATGTAGAGACTGTAGAAGGGTATAGGCATGGAAATTGATCAGGGGCACCCAACGTCAATTTTCGCAAAATATCTGTTCGGAAGGCGCTTTGAGATCTAGAATTTTCGGAACATTTGTTGTAAAATTTCTTGCTTGCCTCTCCTATGATTTTCGAACATCTGAAAAATGGTGCAATTACCTATTTTTAACGGATTTTTACCCTAAAAAGGTCACGTAGAATTTTCGGGAGCCTTTTTTTCTGGCTGAAATTTTCGAAACGTTACGTTTTGATCCCTATATTTTTTGGTTCACCAGACTTTCAGCTAGGAAATCCGAACAGATGAAAAATTTTTAGGGGATAAAAATATGCCTATATCTGCTGTTTGAATACAAAAACACGTTTAACAATGCTATGTTTAAGTGGTTTTGGACTATATTCTCGTTGGGTAACCCTGATTTACATTTTAAATGTGGCATTGCACTCTACCGAAAGGGAACGAGAGCAACGTGGTTCTCAGGGTCAGGGGTGGAAGCGGAAAATTTTGTGTTTAGTATTCAATATTCAAACTGTCAATATTCAATATTCAGACATCAATATTCAATAATTCACACCTCAATATTTAATATTCAAAACTCAATATTCAATATTCAGACTTCCATATTTATCTTATTTTCATTTTTTAAACAATTATGACCTCCCTCATGACTCACTGATTTTCTATAAGAGCCACGTCCGTTATTGCAGGCTGCCAAGACACAATGTATTCCTGTGCAGTGAGTTTTACCTAATGGCAGAGGTCGTTCAGAAAATATCAAAATATAAACAAGACATGCTCCTAGTTACATTGCAATAGACTATTATCTGTTGGTAAATGTTGGTAGAGAAAGGCTTGACCTAATCTCAAACATTGATCCAGTCCGGGCGGGGGGTACTCGCTTATATAAGCTATATAGGTATATGTATCGCGCCATCGGGTCGGGTTTTTGTGCCGTTTTGGTCTGACAACGGGTATACACTTTGCCCATTTTGGTCTGAAATCGGGCATAGTTTTCGAGGGAACCACGGGAGTGTATGAACGTAGTTATCGTTTCAATTCCAAATGAGGGAGAAAGAAAGAGAAATATGAGAATTCGAAATAGGTTTGAAGAATTTTTTTTGTTTGCGCTCTTGTCTAAGTAATGATGACATAATTTCTGCCTAAAGGCCAGGTCTGAAAACGGCTATGGGTTTTAGAGGTCTGGTCTGAAAACGGGTGTGGAAAATAACATTTTTTGTTCTGAAATAGGGTCCGGATTAGGAGAACCGGGCGGCACACCCCTACGAAGAATTCCCAGGAGTACCCCTCCCCGGGGGCCCAGTCTGATGGCGCTAATCCCCAACTGATTTTCAAGGTGGATCGATACCTGGGGTTCTCTCTTGACCTAGTCTGCTACACAGCCGTTTTTAGCGTCGTCACGCAACGCTCCTGTGGGGAGGAGCATTGCGTGACGACACTAAAAACGGCTGTGTAGCAGACTACTCTTGACCTGGCTTTTCCCCATAGCTACTTCCCTACTATATTTCAGGCAGCTTGGGATTCCAAAATTCACTCAAAAACAGACACGAGAGTTCAACGAGACTCGAGCGCGAATGGTGTTGTCCCGGGGGGGTACTCCCATACATTACCTATACGGGTATGTGCCGCCCAACGGGGTCGTGATTTTAAAGCTCCTGATTTAGAACGGGGTATCCATTTCAGAGGCGTTTTCTAGAACGGGGTATGAAAAATTGTGCATCATGGCTTTATCTTCTGCTTAAAATTGTTGCTGATTATGAAGAAGCATTTATTTGATGTATAAGTCAAACAAATAAAGAAATATCTTTTAAAAAAAAAAACAGGACTATTTCAATTTACAAACTTTCTAGAACGGAGTATAAAAAATTGGCCCATTTCTAGAACGGGGTATCAATTTTAGGGGAATTTTTTTTAGAACGGGGTGCCAATTTGGAGTCCCGGGCGGCACATACCCACCCAAAAAATACCCAAGTGCCCCCCCCAGGGGTGTTGTCCCGAAAAGTCAGACAAAGAGTGACAAGAGGTTGTAATGTGACAAGTCTCGTATTACTGCGTGGTCATGACAGCTGTCAGTTAGGAATACTGCACTAATGAATTACATAACCGAGCCGACTGTGTGAGCCTTCTCTTACCATAGCCTAGGAACGCGGGCTACTGGATGGACCGGCCCGACAAAACATCAGTAGAACATAATAAAGCATAACGAATAAGTGAATTTTCTAGAAAAATAAAGATTCATCATTCAAGTACATTTATTCATATTCAAACTAAATTTTCAAATATTCCAACTAATCTAAAGTCAATATTCAATATTCAATATTCTGCTTCCACCCCCGATTCTCAGGGAGTAAAGGACCCTGAACCATTGAGTGAATGAAGTAAGGTTTAAAGTGATGTTATGAAGCAAAATACTCAGTTATTTTATGTTTTTGTACAATTTACTTTTTGGTCGCATGTTTCCCCGCCCCTACGTGGCAACTCAAAGTCTAGCCAAATAATAGTCTTTCGTATATCAAGCAACAACGTAGGTGATCACGATATGACTAATGAATGTCGATTTTTTTTAAGGGTATGGGGGCACTCCCTTTGATGCAATTTTCTTTATAACTGTATTTACAGAGACAGTAAAATGTCTGTAAATCGTGGAGATTAATTTACGGACACTTAATAACAGTGAAAATCTTTCCTACTTTTACATTTAAAATACAAAATGACTGTAGAATCATTTGCGGACAGTTCATACAGGTTTTTGATATCTTTAACTTTAACTTCATCTCCATATTTCAGTCTACTATTAGTTTTTTTTCCTTTGTAAGCAAGACCAACCGTGTAAATGGTAATGCAAATAAAAAATTAATATTGTTGTTGCTGTTTTTCACAGATCAAAGTGTTGACATGTTGGACTGGTTCAGTCGAATGACACTAGAAGTCATTTTGGCGACTGCTTTTGGAGTAGATGCAAAAATACAAACGGGAGAAAACAGCGAAATGTTACGAGAGGCTAAGAAACTGTTTCACGTGCCTTTCTTTCTCCGACAAATTGCCCGTCTTCCATTTGGAGACGCAATTCTTCGTTTGTTACTTGTTCTTGAGGGAAGTGATGTAAACTATTTCGAGCGTATCGGGAGAGAAATGTTAAACAGTCGTCGACAACAGGGACAGACAAATCGAAAAGACCTGCTACAACTCATGATGACTGCCACTGATGAAACCACTGATGAAGGGGTCAGCAGACTCTCTGATGACGAGGTTGTAGCCCAGTCCTTCATCTTCTTATTGGCCGGTTATGAAACGTCAAGCAACACTCTGTCATTTACTGTATACCACTTGGCTTGTAACCCAGACGTTCAAGACAAACTGAGATTAGAGATTGCCGATGCCCTAGAGACCAATGGAGGGGAGAAAGCTCTCTATGAAATAGCCCAAAGCATTGAATATCTTGATTGTGTCATAAAGGAGTCACAGCGATTGTGTCCGCCTCTTCCACATCTAAATCGTGAATGCCAGAAAGATTTTGACCTTAACGGAATCCATATTCCAGCTGGAACCGAGATTGTTATTCCAGTCTATGCCTTACATCATGATCCTGAAGCCTGGGAAGACCCAGAGAAGTTTGATCCCGAGAGATTCCGTGGTGCAAGGAAAGACGCCCACCATCCCTTTCAGTTTCTGCCGTTCGGCGCCGGGCCTCGAAATTGTATCGGTATGCGGTTCGCCCTGCTAGAGATCAAGATTGCCCTGGTGAAAATTCTGATGAAGTACAAGTTTGTGCGATCACCCGAGACGCAAGTTCCTCTAGTCTTGCATGATGGCGCAACGATGACTGCCAAAGATGGCGTGCTGGTTAGAGTAGAGTCCGTGCAATAATTAACCTAGGGTTTTGCCAAGTAATTTGTAACACGTTTTTGTCTATCGTTAAGGGGCGCTGTCACAAGATACAAAGAAACCCAACATATCTGCAGTTATACTGAATAAGTGTTATGAAGTGATTTTACAGCTGTCTTTAGTGTTGAAGACCAGAAGAAGCAGAGTGCAAAAAGCTTTCTGAGGTTGTGTTATCTGCGTCTCGGTCAAAATGCGAACGCGTAAGCGTGATCAGACTAGGGGGTCCGAGGACATGCTACCCCGGGAAAATGTCAAATTTAAGTCTTCTGAAATGGTTATAAATGCATCTAAAACTTCCATTAGTAATATAAATTTGAAATTATTACATCAGCACATAAAACAACAAGTTACAACCTGGCCCCCTCGTAAGACCAACATTTAAATGAATAGACGGGACCCTGGGAACGAGGTTGAAGCGGAATCGGAACGCTGTTTTCACGAGATCATAACCTGATAACGCTTTACACTCCTAACAGAACTTTTCTTTCGCTTGCTCTATTTTGGCTTACTGGACATGACTGATGTGACAACATGTAAGGGAAAAAAATGGGCCGACAAAAAAGTTTCAAAACAATTTTTCCACGTGTGAATAAACCAGGGACCACTTGCAGAAATATTTACGTTCGACGTAAACGGTATGCTAAGTCAAGTAATTTGATATTATTAAATGACCTGTCTATTTTGCTTATCGTCAAATACAAATATAAGCTCGCTATTGTAGTGAGCACCGTACTTTATCATATACGTTAATCACAGTTCCTATACATGCCATGACCACATTTTGAGCTCAGAATATAGTTCTGATTCATGTATAGGATTTTGTACATTATGCTAGCATTTTTTCGAGCATTTTAGTGAGGCTAAAGCAGCATTATTCGAGCATTTTAGTGGCCTTTTTTGGAAAATTAATGAAAATTAAACATTTTTAACAAGAAAATGTTGACTTAATTTAAAAAAAGTATTTAAATTTTACCTTAATAAAACCGTGTAGAAGAACGTTTTTGTGTTTGCCGTAGAAGAGACTACCTGTTGTTATACTGCTTATATGTTTTTGTTCGCGTTGGCGTTTAAAGGTGATGAAAAAGCCTCCGGTTATGAGCATTATCAGGGCATTTTAGTGTCTTTTGTGGGAAAGACCGAGCATTTCAGTGTGAAAAATGGAGCATTTTAGTGGGGAAACAAAAGCATCAAGAAAGGAGGTGGAGCTATTTCTACCCCTATGCCAGTTGAAATACTCGTCACTGTTAGACGTATTAAGATTTACTATTTATCTGATTCTCACCCACAAATCGTAAGAGTATACTTTTTTCTGAGGCCCTCGAAGCTTAGGCCTTGCAGAAAACTACAAATTATACAAAACAACTAGAGCGCGTTTACGCCCGAGTCGAGTGTACTTGAGAAACGCGAAACGCGTGGGTCTCACGCGCTAAATGAGACTGGATCCTAAAAAACCAATATGGCGACGAAGTAGGCACTCAGAGCGTCGTGTGTTTTTAAATTGGACACAAAGTAACATAATTAGACTTCAGGAACTTCGATTTCACCTCCATCGTTTCTTTAACTTATTCGTCAACGCTTGACCTCATTTGTGGCATAAAAAAATTCACGGATGTGGCATGGCAGAAGTCGTGAAAAATCAAGGCACAGGTCTTGTGAGGTATGCTTAACTTTGCTTAACTTGAGCTCAGGTTTAAAATCGTCAAGTAACTCCAAGAGAGCCCTTTCCCGGGCTTTTAATCATCCCCGTCCTCTAATATGGGTTCACTGTATACCAAGTCTGGGGAGGGGAAGGGGTGTTTTGGTTGGAGTGAGAAAACCTTTGGAAGTTTCGGGTGAAGATGTGGCTCAGGGGCAGACACCAAGACATCAAGATATTGGTTGAAAAGTGAGGTGCAAAATTGTTCAAGACTGACTAGGAGGTGCCTGGACCGGTAATGTAGGAGCTGCTCGTAACACCTTTCCTGATTCGTTCTTTTAGACATTGGTAATTCATTGTTTACCATTGTTTTCCAGTTTTGGGTAGCAAACCAATTGGCTTTCAGCTTCTGAGCAGCTGCTACATGACCCACCTGGACACTTATCACTTAAGAAATGAAAAGAAACTGCATTTTAGTTAAGACTTCTGGGAGTGTTACTAGTGACAGAGGAAAAAAATTGGCCAATAGGTGACTGGCGCATCTCCGGTAACGATCCCAGAAACAAAGATAGGAAGCAGTTTGGCTCCACTTCCCTTCTTGTTTCACCTTCTTGTGTAGTGTTTAATAGCATTTAAAACACCAAAATTGACCCTGTCTTGTTTATAAGATCAAATTAGTCTGACATCGTAATACTGTCATGCTATATTTTGGGAGGCAGAGTGATTTGGAGAAGGGGTGGGGGGAGTGTGTTGTGAAAACATCCCTATTAAAAATAATGCCAATTGTTTCTTGTTTCAAAAGGCCAAGTATACATAGCTATACACTCATGCCTAGCCTACATAGCATTCTTGCTTCTTTTTGCCTCACACATCTTTTGCACTTACCCCACTTGGCCTAAAGGAAATGGAAATGTCTGCCATGCAGGTTAACTCAACCAGGAAAAGGTCTATACTTCTCAAAGTATTAAACCACTGCATCAGGCAGTCGGCAGCCCAATAAACCGCCACTATGGGGGTCTTGTCTGGAAACTATTTGGCCCCTTTTTCTCTTCAATAAAATTGTTAGAGTAACAATTAAGAAATAAATATTGCTGTCTAGCAGGCTGCAAAGAAAGTCAGTTTTACAGGTTGTCCCTTGGTCTAGCTGTAGCTTGCATGTACTAGCCCAAGAGTCTTTTTAACAAGCCCCCAAATGCTTTTGACAAGTGGGATTTGACCATAATACTCATTTTTAAAATAGGATGGGTAATAGCGTGATTTGTAGTGATATTTGGCATAAATACCACAAGTGATATTTCGAAATTTTTATACGTAATTTGTTAGGCAAGTGAAATTTGAGACAATTTTGAAATATCATGAGTGGTATTTTTACCAAATATTACTTACAAATCATGCTATTATTTGCTTATACTAATACCGGCAAAAAGTTTGCAATTTTTACATGTAGGTATTTCAAATTAAGCTGAAATACCACTGCTCTGAGCCAATCAAATTGCAGAGATTTATCTCATGTAGCAGTATAAATAGGAAATAAAAATAATGGTATACTCGAG